TGCATTTACATGTGATGCACAACACACTCATCACCACCACACCCTGTTCTTTATTCATTGCATCTTACTGTCAAGCCACATTAACCTCAGAAGGGAAGCAGTAAACGGAAAGATGGTTAATGTGCCGCACCTGCTGCTGCCGGGATGCTAGTTGACATCTTCGTTTCTCAGCGGCAGCCAGTTAAAATTGTACCAGAAATGAACAGGAAAGATTTACTGGAGCGCAAAGCCGTATCCAGTGAACCAGGAAATGGTAGCGTGGTTTTTGCCATCATATAATTTTTCCTCAACAGTCAGTGAGATGACAAGTAGATACAGAGGGGTGAGGCTGGCCAACGATCTGCCTGACTGGAAAGTGATGAATTCTGTGGAGTGTGAAATACTTCCCTCTTGTTGAGAACAAGTGTCATGGTGTAATTTTCGTCAGTTGGTGCTACAAAAGATGGGTTTGACCGTTTTCAGTCTGGTGGTTTGGCAACTGTAAATGAGGGATATATCATTTTCTTCAAGTTCTATGTTGCATTTCATTTTTAAAATCATCGTAAATGTTTTTCATTGCTAAACATTCTGCAGTTGTAAAGCCAAGGCAGTTATTCATGCATATTTAGTGCAGCATCAGGAGATAGATTAGTACAATCATTGTTTTATTGTCATCAAAATGAAAGCACTTTTTTTTTCTTGTGATGCACAGCTAAAGCTCCAGAGAGCCTTGGCCTTATGAGGAAGGTATAGCTTCACTTTGCTCAAGTCAGCTTTCTCCTCCACTTGACCCCCAAGAGAGACACTTTTCTCTGAGTGTAAGCCCTGCACGTCTTCACCAGGGTATGGCAACAATTTCCAACATTTGACTCACAAAATAGCCTTTTCGTTGGTGGGGATACCTGCACCATCTACATGCTAAAAAGCTCGGCCATTGCAAAGAGAGTGGGAGAAGATGCCTTAGGATTTACATGCTTTTGGAGTTAAATCCTTAAGGACTGTGTAAAGGATCCAACAACAAAGAAACAAACAACAAAAAACAGAGATGATTGAGCATGCGAGCAATTGTTCATTTTAAGCCCTCACCTTGAGCATTAAAGCTGCAGTTTTATGGTTTTCAAGAAGCTCATGTTAATATTCATGAAGTGCTGAACATTGTGAGATCTCTGTCCACTCAAGAACCAAAAGATATACTGTTATTTGATGTGGTAAACAGAGCATTGGAAAAAGGAGCATAGAGGTCATTTGCCACACACTGCATTTTGCTCAACCTTTTTAAAATAGCAATAAGTCTATCCGAGTTCAGGAAGCTAAAGGCTAATGGGAAAAGGTGAATTTCCTAGACAGGCAAAGCAGAACAAAAAGGACCCCTAAGGGCATTAAGAAACATTTACCATGGTTTTTATGTGCAAAATGAACATAATTTTAAAGAGGAGAAAGTGCTGTTATTTACTAGCCTGAAAATTGGACTGAACTGCCCTTTTGTTTCACTCCATTCATACAGCCTGATTGCTTTCATGTTAGCTGATTTCTTTATTGGCATGTGGGGTTATTTTGTTTTGTTTTGTCCAGAACAACCATTAGTGAGGTGAGAATCCATCCCACCAAAGTCAGTTTCACTTAAGCTGCTGTAGCAGTTAGTAGACTTAATTTTTTTTCACATTGTTCAGAGAAAAATGCTGAATTATTTCTCTACATGGACTTACACAACATATACTGCAACCTTTTTTCTGTCGCTATTTTTCCTTAATGTAGGTAGGTAGCTATCTTGAATCAAAGAGTAGAGACACAACGCCTAAATTGCCAAACAAATCTGATATGTAGTGCTCATTCAGATGTCTGGGACCATGTGTTTTACATGTTGGCACAGTCCTGAGCACTATGCTCTAGCAACCAAACACCAACGGAATAGTTTGCTCACTGAGCTTTGCTAGATTGCAATTGGTTGATATACAAGCATTGAGCACTGAGCGTGCGAAGGCCCTATTGTATTTGTAAGGGTTATTATTTTAGTAACAAATTAATCGCATTTTTGGAGGCTTT